ATCTGCCAGAGGTGATGCATCTTTCTGCTTGTAACCTTTGTTCAACCAGTAAAGCTTGCTGTATGAAGAACGCAACAATATTAGCATCATATTCTGGTTTATTCTTATTTCGTCCCTTTTCAAGCGTAAATGAAAAATATATAACAACGACCAAGAAGTCCATTACTATTGGTACAGCATGTCGAAAATTTTTCTCCTCCTCCAGTTGAGTTCTTCAACAGCTTTTAGGACTCCTGGATAACAGATAGAATGTAACAATTCAATATGCCAGCTGTATAGGTGCAAGTCAAATACATACAAATGTCGAGATTGTTAAGAAGCAAAAATATGGCTCGTGCCTTCATGGATTCGTTCGAACACTCGCGGGACACCAGCTAAAAATGTCGGCTTTAGCTCGAGCAAATCATCCCTAATCTCATTGATATTCTTCAGAAGCCAGCAAAAATTAAAAAATAAAAATAAATTAAAAAAAAAAGGATGATCAGACATAATAAGTTGGCAGGTAGACGGGGTCTTATGTGCCATATATATCTCTTATATCTTAATCGATAATCTTCAGTTATCAGATTGACATGATTTGCTCATTATATCTTTCTTTGTCTATAAATAAAATAGAATAGCAAAAATATGTAAAGGACTTATAACTTACCCCATGATAGTAGCCAACAGAAGCACCCTTATGGAAGAAATATTCTTCAATCATACGATCAAGAATGTGAGCAAGGGGTAAGAATGAAATGTACACATCGTCCACAGTCATCTATCCAAGATCCCAATAATTAGTTGCAATAACTTGCTAAAAAGCTTAATCAGAAAAAACTTTAAAAGTCATGTAGGGAAAAATTGGTGTACAGTGGGAAAGATATATCATACTGCAGTACTAATCGCACTAACCTTGTCTTCAAATTGCTCCATGAAAAGATCAACGCCCCTTATGTTTGTTGAAATGTTTTCATGGGTCAATATGACACCTTTAGGATCACCACTTGTGCCACTGGTGTACATAATCGTACAAATGTCTGACGGTTTTGGAGGTGAAATTTCACATGGAGTTTCTCTTCCCTAATACAAATGGAAGATACAGAAAACTTTATGCTAATAATAAAAACCAAGATTATTTTCACATTGGTCATAAAAAAAAAGAATAATGATGCTAAACATCAAAATGAAAGGGTATTTACCATATTAAGGAATTCTTTCCAAGAACACATTGTGATGCCAATAGAGGCGGCCTTATCCTTTTGTTTGCCCGTTAACGAAGTGAAGCAAATAATCACTATACCGAAAAGATAACTCGTAAAACTACTTTTTCAACAGTTAATAAAACTTATACAGATTCACACTCACACTTCAGCCTTCGAGCATGAGTGCATTCAGCATTCAGTAGCTGTAATAAGGATTTTTTGGAGTCAGAAACTCCATACAGTTTCTAAGGGAGAACTGAAGCTGCTAAAATAATAAGGAAATGCAGAATAAGTTTGTGATGCTCACTTCTTTCACTTTCCTATCTTGAACAAAAACAACATCAACCTCAGCATGATCTAATATGTAATCAACAGCTCCTGGGCCTGTCGTAAAGAAAAAAGAGTGGAAATTTATTGAGGATAAATTATTTCTAGAATTTACAGAATAACTCTCCAAGAAGCTGACTGGAGCAAGCTTAAGAACTCTGTTATTAAACCACATGTTCCACAAACAATGTTTAAAAATAATATGTAAAGAACATAATAGTTAATCCTTGATAAGGAATGATGTTTACCAAGGGTATCATACAGAGGAACACAAATAAAGCTGTGGGCGTTGCAGGCCTGAAATAAGATAGATAAATAAATAAATTGATTTTTTAACTTGATGTATATACTTCCAGTACTAAAACGTTGAGGAAAAGAAAAGGAGATGACAACAAAACTAAAGAAACTCAGATTTTAAACCCTCTGAACTGACCTCCATTGCAACAATCCACTGAGGACAATTTGATCCATAAACTCCTACTCGAGCACCCTATAATACGATCTATTAAATCCGGATGTCCAGTATATTTGATGTCATTGGAAACTTTTTCTTGTACCATGAAGCTTTATGAACAATCAGTAGTACTAATACAGTATACAGAATGACGTCTATTCATTTCTTACTGGTTCGAAACCATGTTTTCGCAAGCCGGAACCAACTTGTAGTGTCTCTTCATATACTTCCTTGTAAGTTTTCCAAACATAAGGCCCCCACTAAAAAAAGTTAAATTAATCAAGATTAAAAAATTAAAACCAGAAAGTTAAAATTTAGCTGCAGTGACATGCAAAATACCAAATGTCCAGAAAATAAGATAACAATAGAAGGAAGGATTAAAAAAATCTTTTTACTTTATACCTTTCCATCAACCAACTCACGCCATCCGAGCATCCTGTTCCCAGAATGTTTATCTACTGATTCTCTGAAGTAAGAAAATAAAGATTTTCATATTATAGAAAACCGGCATATAGCACTGCACCACATGATCATAAACAAATGCAGAAGCAAGGAATGACTTAATGGTGAATAATTTAAAGATCAAAACTTTGCTTGTCAAGTTTTATCACCATTAGATATATTAGCTATAACCTGAAAATATCCCAACAAGTGGATAAATTAGGATCGACGGGTGGATAAGCATGTTCCGCCAGTAGGTTACGATAAACGGGACCAACTGACGGTTGCCCGGCTTGACCCTGCTTTCCTTCTTCTACCTTAACAGCAAAACTCTCCATTTTCTGCAGAATCACCTCAAAAAAGAAAAGAAAAAAGAAGAGTGCTTCAGCATAATGAAAGTTTTGCATAAATCTATTATAGCTAGAGAATCTTATTGTTTTTACAAGTTAACTATCCAGCAATTTCAAGAATCCGTTGAGCTAGAAACAAAAATACAGAGTTACAACTGAACCACTTCCTTAAATGCGTGCGGAAATATATTATAATTTTATTAATAAAGTGCTCTTTCGTTAATCAGCCTGGGAAATGGAAATGAAACAGAGAGGGCCAATGCAGAAGAAAGAGCTCAGCATAAATTATTTGGCGTTGAAGTTTTCAAGTCAAACTGTTTGTTTGTATGTCAAAACGAGAGCTTGATGACATCAAAGAACAGTGAAGGGGAAAAAAAATGGTCTTTACTCCTCAGTCACTGTCAATTTTGACAACTAAAACTGTATTACATGCAAAAACACAGCAAAATCAACCAAAGGAAAAGGGATAAAACGCAAAAAAAAAAAAAAAAAAAAAAAAAAAAAAAAAAAAAAAAAAAAAAAAAAGAAGAAGAATAATGTATACAGAGTATGTATGGAAAAGAAAAAAGAAAACCCATAAACGAAAAAGGAAATTTGAGACCTGAAGCAAGCAGAAAAATCCAATCTTGCTCGCTGGCAGACCAAAGTGGAGCTATGTTGGGGTAGAAGAAAGTGATGGGCAGACGAAAAAAATGAGGGGTTTTTTAATATATGTAGCGAAAATACATGACGCGGGTGGAAAATAAATATGATGATGCCCATTGTGTTGTGATTTAGTGATGGTAGTTGGAATTGCTTTTTAGTACGAGCTTCCATTAAATGCAGAGGCTCATCAGTGAACTAGTAGACGACGCCCCTCACATTTAAATCATCAGTTAAAAAAATAAATAAATAAATAAATAAATAAAAATTGTTTTTTTAGGATAATTTGAAAGTAGTCCATAGGTTTGCGTTAATTATACAAGACTCAAAATATTCCAAAATTACAAGAAAGTACATGTAAATAAAATTCACCATTAAATTGAGGTGAAGATGCCACCTTCAAAGATTATTTGAACTTTCTTCTATAGTTTGAAAAAAAATAAAAAAATATTATTAACACTATATGTAAATATAATAGTTAAAATTTATAGCAACCAAAAGAAGCATTGCTGTAAAATTTAAGAAGAAAATTGTATTCTTGCAAATGTCTCTATAATCAAATATCTGATGATTGTATTATTTAATTTTAAACTATATTATAATTGCATAAATATGTAGCATTACCGAAATTATTACTGTTCTCCTATGTATCTTTGAAAACTTTAGCGCCGTATAAACATAAAGTACTGTAATTTGTAGCCTTCACTACACTTAAATGTGGCTTCTATCTACGAGCCAATAGCCATTCAATTTTTTTTTTTTCTTTATTAAGAGTTTGTTACCGCCACTATCAACTATATATAATCAAGGACCACCACTGAATTTACATAATTGTCATTACAGATCCAATAAATTAAAAAAAAAAATAAAAAAAAAATGCAGCTATGTCACAGCTCATAGGCTTGGTAAAGAAAGAGGGTTGTGATAGGCTTGACGAACCAACGTAAAACCTAGCCGTTCTATGGACTCCAACTTGTTTGAGACAAAAAGGCTATATTGTTGTTGTATGCCGCAACTCATAGCTTAACTAATGCTACTTAATTACATACTGATGAAGGTGAGGGAGTTTCAAAGAGGCAAGTATGGTGTTCTTTTTTTTCAATAAGAAATCAAGTGGAATTAATATTTGATGGTACGTTGTAACTATGATGACAAGGTTTATTTCTGTTCACACCCTATATTTCAACTCCAAGGCATGCATATAAAGCTTTTAGCTAAATACGCATTAAATTTCTGTTCACACCCTTGCTTCCAACTCGAAGGCAACGAGAGAGAAGTGATGCACCTTAAAAGGCTTTTATCTAAATTCACAAGAAATTGCAAGCTTTACAAGACTGAGTTTTTATCATCATCCTCAATCAATTGTAATTTTAAACGGCATCATGTTTTGTATATCAAACAAATTACGTCTTTAACGCATGACTCACATCTCGACGTCTTGTACATTGAACTGAGAAAAAAAAAACACCTTGAAATATTTGCTTTTTTTTTCACCTCCACGAGCTTTAACCATGCGATCAGACACCCTTTGATAGTGTTGGTAAGACGGTTAAAACATATTTGGGGCAGGATTAAAAGTGATAGAAGTAGGAGAATATTGGTAAAAATTATTTACCAGCAACTTTTACAAGCATTTCCCCAGCCACGCCACTGCAGTTGTTTATTTTCTACTTATGGGCGGGGCTGCCCCAAACTCCAAGTAGTCCCATTTCATACAGTCAAAAAAAGGACACAGATTAATATCTCGAAAGTAGTGGCGTCGTATTCCTTCACCAAACTTAATGGACCATAATCGCAACAAAAATAGAGAAAACTCTTTTCACAAGGACTAGGAACACTAATTTATTATTTGCTTTCTCGTGAAAATGGCAACATGTTAAGTTCCCCGTCACATGAAAGTTTTACCATTCAAGGATCACCGTTGCCAACAGTTAGGTGAGCTCAATTAATCTACGGGCCCTCCCCATTTAATTATACCTCAAAAGGACATGCAAGAAATTTTTCATTGGACGAGAGGCAAACGAACCACCTACATTAAGAGTATTGTGCAGTTTTCAACAATATCAACCATTAGCCCATTACTAACCTTCGTTCTGTAAGATTAAAGAATCGGTCCCACGCATAGGGTGAACCTAGATGCACCTTAGTGAGGTTCAATCCCAAAACCAATTGGTGATGGGAGGAGTAGCACACTTGGCTTATATACTAGACTCATTTTCTCTATATAATCAATGTGGGACAAACTCACAAGTGATACTCCAACACGATACTTTGTTGGCTAGTACTGATTTAATGCTCTTTCCTTTCTATAAACAAATCCAATTGAACAGTTGCAGCACTTGCATAATTGCATTGCTTGGTTAGATGTAAATATAACAACAAACAAGAGATTAGATAGAGATAAAACAGGACAGATACCCAAAAGAATCACCCTAATGTAAAGCAATACATTAAAAATAAAAATCAAAAGCTACAATTTGTTGGCATGATTTTGAACCACCTTAATGTATATTCATATGTTGGCATGATTTCAAAATTTTGACTGAATCGATATATAGAATATTTAATCATGGCTAATATGTCACTCTACTAGCTAGAACATAATGGTTCAAAACTTTTGACACATCTTAATGTTACATTTTCATATGGTAAGACCGTATGAGTTCACCATTTGTAGTATGCATATGGGCACGAATAGGTAAAATAATTAGACATGTATCATCTCCAACTCAATACGTGGTTTTGTCACAGTAAGTAGTATATGAATAATTAAGTAGTACATAAATATTCAATAGGGTAAGGCCATTGTGAGGTAAATGGGCATACTTCTTTGAGAAAATGAAAATGGACAGTTATGAGGCAAGTACACATAAGTTTATCGACTATAGAAATCAAATACTATATTCAAGACACATATATCCACAGGAATTATCTCAGTATATTCATTAAGCACAACCGCGTAAGTCAAAATCCGCGAAAGGAACAAACGTACTAACATATACATCTTTGGGATTGTATCTTTTCATTGCAATAGAAGCTGGGATAAACTCAGGTTCTGGTGAAACACACGGCATCCATTCATAGCCAGAACACATCAGGTATATTCATGAATGGACTCTGAAAGACACAAAATAATGGATGTCGAGATTCGTTCAAAATATAAGTTATGAAGAGTTGCAGGTGGAGATCACAATATAAACCTACTTGAAGAGATGAAGTCAGTTTGCTAATTTTTTGTGAATGCAATTTGATCAGCTGTTATTTGTGGATAAAAAGCAAAGAATTCTGAAACAGTTGGTAAGTATTCAAGCTTCAAAGAAGAAAGTGAAAATCGCTACATGCTATCAAACATAAAGGTATAAATTCAAGGATGAACAAACAATTAACAGTCACATAATGTGAGATTTTCAAATATGTGGGGAAGATAATAATATATGACATCAACATCAACATCAACAACTAACATACCCAGTATATTCCCAACTGGTTGGGGTCTGGGGGTCAGTTGTACACAGACCTTACCCTTGTAATTATACAAGAAAACTGTTTCCGTAGCGACCCAAGGTGCATTGCGTCGTTTGATATATTTTTTTCTAGAAACTTCACTAATAGAAGAAGCACTAGAATTTAATTGTGTCATTTTGATCTAGTCCATTAGCACTATGCCAGGAGAATTGTCAACAATCACTCTTCTAGCTCCATTTGCAATGGACAATATAATAATATATGACATGAAACCAAAAAATTCAATCTCGAAACCATTATACTGAGTTTCTTACTAGCCAGTGCTCTTCTGATGTAACTTTAAATGCATCCAAAGCACATAGCAGCATCCAATATTCATACAAATCATATGCATACACCAAATCCAGCTACGATTAATCCAAATCGGGAAACCCTTAAAACAACACGCGCGGAAAGCAAACTAGCAGAAATCTTAAGCTGATAATCAGAATCCAAAATACGTACACAATCAGCGCCGCGTTTAACGAGTTGAGCACAGAAAACACGAAAGCTACAGAGGCGTGTTGATTACTGCATGCAATGATCACGAGAATTTTTGCAGCCAAATCGGAAAAATGAAATTACATCAAGACGATCGGTGGAAGAAACCTTAAGTTGTTTAAGGTGCACATCCTTATTTGGGTGGAGCCAGCTGCACCGGAGCGCCAGCATGAGCCTCCAGAGGCGGGACCCACTCCCCGTGAACCCACTCGCGGTGGAGGCGGAGCTGAGATTCGTGGAAATCGATCTGCTCGCGCGAGGATCGGAAGAAGATGGAGTATCGGTCTTCGCCGAGGACGGCGACCACGACGCCCTCCCACCAGCCGTCGTTGTGGAAGGCGTCGACGTCCTCGCTGACGCGGAAGCTCCGGCGCGATTCGCGCGGCGGGACGGGCCGTACGAGTATGAGGCGGACGCTCTCGCGGAGGGGCTCTGCGGCGGCGGACTCCTCACCGTCGCCTTTGGTGATGAGGGTGTCGAAGAGGAGGGGAATGCGGGTGGTGGTGGAGATCCTCTTCGGCGGGGGGCGGAGCACGGTGGCGGTGTACCAGGAGCCGCGGAAGCCTTCCTCGTCTAGGCTGGCTTCCACTTTCGCGCCTTTTGTGAAGGGGTTTTTGGGGGATTTTCCCTCTACAGACGTCAACATTTTGAGGGACAGAGAGATAGAGAAGGAAATTGTTTGAAAATGAGATTTTGGGGGTTTAATTGGCTAGTTTTAGCTTGTGGCATACGCATAAATCATGAGGCGTGTGTCTCTCCATGTGATTGTAAATTGTAATGACATAATGGTTGACCTAAATGATGTATGTGTAAACAATATAGATTTTTAAATTAATTTATTATAGAGGTGGTGAGGAAATGGTACAGTCCCGTTACGAAACAATTCTATCGTGATTTATAACCGTTAGATAATCATGTAATCGTTGTGGATAGTTGATCTAACGGATACGAACCCTGATAGAATGGTTCCGTAACAGAATCGTAGAATCTCCTTAAGATTATGATACATATTTATTAAGCCAAATTTTATGTTTATCCATATAGTAAACAAATTTTATGTTATCCGCTGTGTTATTTTATAGCATTAGCATGATTAACTCTCAAAACACTAGAAAGTGACGAGGCAAGAAAAAACCTGCGGCAATTATTTATTTGGTGGCATCGTTATTAGATCACAAAAATAAAGAGATTGACATTATTTATAACAAAAAGAAAAAAAAGATTGATATTATTAATTATGTGGCACAAGGAAAATTTCACTCTACCGATTTAGTCACTGCCACGATGAGTTCCCAGCCATTGGATCGGCACACAACCGCACGGGTGTGCACTCGATCCAACGTCCCTGAACTCAGCGTGAACATTACTCTCATCAAAAGGATCGAGTTATTGCAATTCAAGATCAATCAAACATTCAGTCATTCAAATATAATGATAATTACAGGACGCCTGGGCTAGAAAAAACAAACCATATAGAATAATTTACAAGCACATATTCAGTTCGATTTCCATTCATTCATACCCTTCAAATTTAATAATTCACTAGTCAACGAGAATTCAGTTTAAATAAATGCCGTGCTTAACATACTACATAGTCATCCAAGAGTGTAGCAAGCGGACCAACATAAAAACAAGACAACCTACGGANNCACAAAATACAAACCCCACAGTCAGGTACATACAAACACCCACCAAAACGCACGAAAGACCCAAAAGTTTGCTACAACCCCTAAACTTCACGCACATTGCCTACATCAACATAGCAGAAGAAGCTATACCTTCGAATTCAAGCTTCAGATTCTCAAGACTCTGCTCGGCCTCCCTCAAACGGGCCCCAGCGGACGCAATCTCGTTCTCCTTCCCTTCTTTAGCCGACTCAAGCATCGAGAGCTTCTCCTGCAGCTTCCTCGCCTGCTCGTTCAGCTCCTCAATCTCCTTCTCCAACTCGCCTTTCTCCAGCTGGTGGCCCGAGATCTCACAGTCGAGCTCCTTAGCCCGCCCCATGAGCTCCACCTCTTTATCCTTGACAGCGAGAAGGCCCACAACGCGGGCCCGCACGGGCTCAACGTCAAACCCATGCGACCCCAGCTCAGCGAGTGTCTCAAGGATATCATCCATGGTGCTCTTGGGATCGTCAAACTGCAGCTTGCAGGTTGTCTCGACAGCACTGGAGAAGTTGACCATGAGGCCTATGGCAATCCCTTCGCGCATACTCTCCTTGATGCTTTCGAGAGGCTGGAAATGGGGTTTTTGAGGTAGCATACAGAAGGCGTTAAGTGACCAGATTGTTTTCCAGAGCAAACTGGTCTTTGTGAATGGTAGATTTTGGTGCTCGGTTGAAATTTGGATTTGGGTATCTTGGGGATTTCCGGTGGCCTCCTTCAGCACTGCTGCATCATCTTCCCCCTGTTTTTCATTGCTTTCTGTGAATTGCTTAACAGCAGCAGTCACGGGAGATAGCCCTGCGGAAAGCCGAAGTGTTATTAGGATTAAGTATTTGATGGTGTTCTTTTGTAATTTCCTCAAAGGTGAAAAGCTAGGAAGCAGAGAAGACTCTAATGATCGTACTTGATCCATCAACTGTAGATGGAGATTGTATCCTCTTCCCTCCAATCCACTTTGAAAGTGGTTGATCGTCAAGCTCAATGCTGGGTGCTTCAGAATCATTATTTACGCCTGGTGTTGGGTTAACTTCGGCTGATTTCCCTCCAGATACATTAGCAGAATCTACAATACCAGAAAAGAACAGAAGCATCCGACAGCTTGTGGCACATGTGCAGAAACCAGAAAGCATGGAAAGCAGAATACTGAAATCTCAAGGGTCATTCTCTATAAAGATGTGGTAAAAAGGATTGCTCAACATTTCATCTGATTACTAGTAAAGAAAAAGATTAAATAAATATTCTTATAATACCACAAACATCCAATTCTGCATTCTTTTAATAAATGTACCCCATTTTGTCCATTGCAAATGGAGCTGGAAGAGTCATTGTTGACAATTCTCCTGACATAGTGCTAATAATGGACTAGATCAAAATGGCTCAATTAAATTCTAGTGCTTCTATTAGTGAAGTTTCTAGAAAAAAAAAAATATATCAAACGATGCAATGCACGTTGGGTAGCTACGGAAACAGCCTCCTTGTATAATTACAAGGGTAGGGTCTGCGTACAACTGACCCCCTAGACCCCAACCAGTTGGAAATATACTGGGTATGTTGTTGTTGTTGTTGTTAATAAATGTACCCCATCCCAGTCTTACAAAAGGTAGAAGGAGCTAGTTCTAAATCACAAGGATTTATTTTCCAATTACACCCTTCTTTAAGTAAAGTCGACAAATCCAATCACACAACAGCTAAATGAGATGATCAGCTTGGGAACCATAATCCACGAAGAAGAAGTTTACCTTCAAATTGAGGTGAAGTCATACTCCGTCTCTTTCCTCTTTTTGACTCACTTTTCTTCTGTTGCATTGACTCTTTAACAACCTTCTCCTCTAGCTTTCTAGCAGAGGTTTTTTTCTTCACTGCTCCTTTTCTACCTTTGAGATCAGACGGACTAGTTCCCCCATCTAGTGACATCTTCTCTGAGCTGTCCGTACCAACCGCCTCTAATTGAGAAATTCTATTATGATCATCTTCGTTTGTGTTCGAGTCATCTGAACCAACAAATCCATATTGAGATTTTCCCTAACAGTAAAAAACTAATAATATTCAACCAATACAGCGCAAATTGAAAAAGCCAAAAGGAACCTGCCACTGGAGTCTGATCACTTTCAGATGAGTTTTTTCGTGGCCTCCCCCTCTTTCTCCTTTCACTGAGTTCTCCATGTTCTATTAGTTTAATTTCCTAGGATAGCAAAAAGAAAAATAAGACACGGAATATACTAATATGTTTCAAAATTGAGAATGATCTAGTTGAATAAGTATTGTGTTAAAGATAATTTATCCCGTCATCATTTTCCTGTACCTCAATTTCCTGTGTAGTGGCATCATGTAAGTTTTGTTTCTCTTTGTTCTTCATAATTTCCTTGCTGTTGGCACTGTATTTCCGCTTGTCCCTTGACTTTACCGGTCCAGAGATCACCATTTCCCCGCATGGCAAACCGATAACAACAACCTGCACATTTTGAGCATCTTCTGCGGTGTTATCCACGGCATCTGGCTTCTTTCCTGCAAATGAATTCTCATGTTGCCAATTAAACAAAAGTGTAAAAACATTCTGGCAGTTTTAAGAAGACATGGTTATACGAGAAAAAAGGTATACCCTCAGCACCAGGTTGCAGATATTCAACTTGGCTAGTTTGTGCACCACTGTTCTTCACATCACGTGGTGTGGAATTGATTTTGCGTGTAACATTTTTCCCTCTCCGCTTCATGATTTCCAGATCCAAGTGCAAAAACCAATTGGTCAATACATATGCAGGCAGGCAAACAAAGAGAGAGAGAGAGAGAGAGAGAGAGAGAGAGAGAGAGAGAGAGAGAGAGAGAGAGAGGGAGGGAGGGAGAGAGAAGTATAATCAGATCACTGTTTCAGTAACATTTTTCAATGATACATTTTTTGTTAGCTGAGAATAATAATGAAAAACTCATCCGCCAAGCATAAAAGGACTAAGCCATAGTAAGATGCTTGTGCATAGTCCAAACAGATGACATTATGAATAAAGGCAGTAACAGTAAACAATAGCTCTACCACACTGACGTTGCTAAAAGGTTAACTCCATAAAATATTACATTCCAATAAACATGATATGCAGTCATGTGGCATAGAAAATCCATCTTCTCTCGTGCATCATTTATTACAGTAAAATCTTAACTGTTGATGGCCCACACAGACAATCTGCAATGCCCGCTTGAATTTGGTTAACTGATATAGATCATGTTGTGACTGATTATTTAATGAAGAACCAACCAGTTATTTTAGCTAATGAACTTTCATCATAAATTAATTAGACACAGAAACAATGAGACACAAGAAGCAAAGAGTGGAAGGCGTGACTTACAGTTCTCTTCCCCCAGGAAGGATTATCAGATGAGAGATCCCCTGTTGCACTTTGTTTACCAGGAAATTCCACATTATTTGCTGAAACTGGACTAACAGAATCGCTCAATATTTCTTTAGTCATCTCATGTTTCCCCTGTTGTTTCTCTACAATTACAGGTCCTTCTTTGAGCTTCTTCTGGCACTGAGAGAGGGCATTTTTGGAATCATATGAACGCCTTGTTCTTTTTGTCCGAGGTGTCACATTAGGCGTTTTCTTCAAATTAGGTGTTAGTTGCTCCACTTGGCTGTCTTGACAGGTCGGCGACGTGGAATTTGGCAAGGCACTGGAATTATTGGATGTGTGGTTTACATCCATTCCACCATCTGGAGGCGAGATCTTGACATCCTGAATAATTGTCAAGACTCAGGGCTTTGGCTTATTTCTAACAACATAACACACAAGATACTTAACTTTCTGGTATCAAAATTGGCCACATAAAATCCTAAATTCAGAACAACAACCAACTTTTTATGATCATAGTGAAATGAAAATCAATACCCTGGTGGGTGCACACACACATAGCAAATAGTCAAACTCACATATTGCTTGAGCATAAGACTTCTACTGATGCATAACAAAACAAATTTTAACATAGCCATTACTCTATGCCTCTCTAATTTGTTAAATAACAAATATCCCTCCCTTTTTAAAG